GCTTGGGCTGCATGGGGGGCAGCTGCGGATGCTTCTTGCTGGCAGCGGGGCAACCCCCGTCTGCAGGGCACGGCGGCGGCTGCGGCGCGGCGCTGGGGCCCTTGGCGCACGCGGGCTTGCCGCAATCGCCGCCGCCAGCCGTGGCCTTGCGACTGGACGGCGCGGCGTCGCCGGCCGGGTGCACCCGCATCGTGCACGGCGGGCGGGGGATCTGGTGTGGGGGGGCGGCGCCGTGTGCCTGGCCCCGACGCGCCGTATCGCCGTTTGCTGTGCTGGCGTCCAGTAGATTCGGGCCTTGAAAGTCCCAGGTCAACCCAAATTGCCACTGGCAGTGTCAGGGAGCCATGAAGCTCAGTGATCGCTGCCTGCTACGCGCGGGCGTGCTCTCGCAAGTGCGAAACGGCTAAGATTGGTCGAAAACAAAGGAACGTGCCCGTTTGTGGTGAGCGCGGGATTAGAAAGCCTGAGAAGAGGGTTTGGCGGTCGGAGCGCGCCTCTGATTGATTGAAGCTTCACAGGATGGGTTCCGTATGCCAACTGCTGCTGCCCATAAATGGATGACGCAGCGTCCCGTTCACCAATTGTAATATGCAGCAGACGGTGGTTGTGGCGCGGCAGTGACGCCCCCCCGTTGCACAGGTGCCGATCGCCAACCACACCGCACCGCAGCGAGCGTTCTGGTGGCCGGGCGCTCCACGCTGCACTGGGTGGAATATGGCAAGGCCCAGGGGCGCCGTCGCGCGTTGATGGCGGTTGGTCTGGGGGGTCACCGTGCAGAGAACGCGACGCGTGTTTGCGTCCTTCTCACCCGCACGACCGAGAGGGGCCGCCGCTGCGATGATTGCCGCATTCCTGGAGAGATTCAAAAGACTTGAACCGGGGAGGGCATGAGGTGGGAACAGCATGGTTGCACGCTGCGCCGGCAGACAGATTTGCTCATGATGCGCGCACTGGCAGGGGGGAGCCGTCCGCTCTGCCGGTTCACTGGGAGTCTCGGCTCGCCCCAAGCAGCAAGTGATGCAAGCACAATGCAGCTGCAGCCCTCGTTTGCCAAGCAGCAAAGCTGCATGTGGCAACGGGCGATGACAACTGTAAAAAATCCAAGCAGGAAGATGGCATATTGTAGGCCTGGCGGAGTGCGGTGCAGCCGGTATTCTGCGCGTGCTGATTTACTTCCTGACTCTCGGCATGATGTGTCTGTCTCGCCTCGTAAACATCAATCACTGAACGAAGCACTGGCCAGGGTCTTTGAGTCCACTTGCTGGGTCCCAGGCAGCCGCCGACCAACGATTTGTCGCTCACTTCAGCGCCGACGCTGTCCGGAGGCACTGGTCAAACCATGCGGGTGTGATGGCGGCGCGATGGCGGGGGCTTCGCGAATGATTTCTAAATTTGCGCAGATTATCCATTATAATCTATTTCGTATCTACACACGTGTGTCGTGAGCCTCAACGGCGAAACAGCACGGGACCTTGATCAAGAGGCCAGCCTTCCAAGATCTCTGCCGGTGTCAAAGATTATATGAATGTCGCAATTGCTGCAACCAGCGTGCATGCATAATTAATGCATCGATTCGTTTAGCCGAACACGAGGTCCTTGGCCGCGGCGCGTTCTGTTGCAAGCCTCAGCATGCAAGCGCGCGGGTTGTGCGTAGGGTCCCGTTCGTGTCCAGGACTCCATGGCCGAGCCGTGACAGCCCCGCGCCGGACGCCGCACCGAAGGCACCGCGCCGACGGCGCTCGCGCGCCCGGCGCCGCCGCCGCTGACGCGCCCGCGGATGCTGCGCCCTCCACCAGCGGCGCCGCCGCGGGCCCGCGGAGCAAGGAGCCCTGGACCTACAAGTACGCGCGGGCCCGCGGCCCCTCGCCCTGCGACCCAAGCGACGCGTTCTGCATGCAGCTCGAGGCGCTCTTCCAATCCGTCCTCGCCTACCCCTACGCGCCGCCCCGCGTCCACCGCCACCTCGAGGCCCTGCGCCCCGCCGGCATCGACGCCGTCACCGAGCGCGTCGAGCGCGCGGCCGCGCACTTTGGCGCAGAGATCGCGCTGACCTTCTTCCGGCGCGCCCCCGAGCTGCTGCTGCTGCCGCCCGACGAGCTGCTCGCGCGCGCGCGCGAGGCCACGCGCTCCGTCGGGATCTCGGACCACGACCTGCCGCTGATGCTGCACAAGAACCCCGGCTTGCTGCTGCTGGAATCGGCGGAGCTGAGGGCGCGGTACGAGGCGCTGCCCCGGGTGCTGCACTTCACGCCGCAGCAGGTGGGGCGGCGGCGAGGTCGCGCGCCAGCGCGCGCGCGCGCGCGCACACACACACACACACACACACACACACGCGCGCGCGCGCACATGCGCATGCACACCGCAGCGACCGCACCCTGGGCCTGCCGGCTCGCCGTTGAGCTGCAGGGCGCCGCTGCCTCTTGCCCTCCCCCCTGCGAAGCGCCCCGCACCGCCTGTCGCGCACCTCCTCACACCGCTACAGCCGTCACAAAGCGCCATCCCCCGGGCCCAATGTGCACGCACCCACCAATACCCTCGCCCTGCTGCCTTTGCGCAGGCCCAGGCGCTGGTCTTGAAGTACCCCCTGGTCCTCAGCCGCCGCACCCCCGCGCTGCACTTCATGGCGGGGCAGCTGCGCCACCTGGCGTCCGCGCGCAGCCAGTGGCAGGCGGAGGTCGACGCCATCAGCCCCAGCCTCATGGCCTTCTTCCTGCGGGACTTTGGGGATCAGGTGGGTCCTTGGGGGAGCAGGTTGGGTCCTGCGTGCGGTTCATGTCGCGGGCCCCAGGGGGGGGAAGTGGGGATGGAGCGGGGCCTCGCTGTGACGGAGGTGCTCGCGGGCAGCTGACTGGTCGGGGTTACCCAGGGGTCGGTGCGCCAGATCGGCCTGGTCGGGCGGCAGGAGTAGCAGTGCTGGGGCCTGGAGCGGAGAGATTTGAACGACATGATCGGAACGGCATGGCCGGGGCCCGCAGCCGACACGTGTTCGTTTGAGGGCCAGCGCCGACCACAGGGCCGCTGCACCGCACACGCCTTCTCACTCACTGGGCCCCGCGTCCCCACTCAAATCCAGGTGCGCCGCCTGGAATACTTGGCGTCCACGGGGGAGGCTCCGGGCATTTATTTGCGGGAGGTGATGAAGCCCAGCAACCGCCTGTTTGCGGCGCGTCACCGCGGCTTCCGGTCGTGGGCCGCCGCCGTCCAGCAGCGGCGCCGCCAGCAGGCCGCGCTCGCGCAGCAGGCGGCGGCGCGCGCGGGCGGCGGCTCTGGCGGCGCCGGGGGGCCGGAAGGCGGGGCGGCGGGGGCGTGGGGGGAGGCGGGCGCGGCGGCGGAGGGGGGCGGCGACGAGCAGCGGCGGCAAAGAAGGTGGGGTGCGCAGCAGGTGCAGGATGAGCCGCCGTCGGCTCGGCCAAGCAGCAGGTGGGGGTCTATGGGGCCTCGTGCATCACAGGCGGCTGGGGCTTCAGAGCAGCAGCAGCAGCAGCAGGAGCAGGAGCAGGAGCGAGGGGAACAGCCGCAGCAGAAACCGCAGCAGCAGGAAAAGCGGCGCCAGCCGCGACAGCGTCCGCAGCGCCTGCCAGAGTCGCCATCGTGATTCGGCGCGCAGCACTGGCTGCTGTGCCCCTGCTGCGCTGGGTCACGTGTCCAGGAAGTGTAACTGAGGGCTCCAAACGACCAATCCAAGTGCGAGCAGAAGGCACCACGTGTAGATAAACTCCGTCAAAGCATGCATGCAGTGACTGCTGAAGAGTTGAACTGCTTGACCACATCCGTTTGAGAGACAGTTACACCAGATCGTGCAGGTGCTTATAGCCTCCCAGCGGAACAAACCGGGGTCAACGTGTTGCAGACGAGATAATGCACTACGAGGGCAGTACCCAAACGAACCAGTAAGTCTGGACGCAGGGCCACGTGACAAGTGCCCCCCCCCTCGGCTGGACCACATCAGTGGGGAGGGAACAAGGCATCCATCGGAATTTGCCACGCAGGGCCCAGGCGCCGGCCGCTCCTGCCGGCGCCGCCGCCGCCGCCGCCGCCACGGCCCCTGGCTGCAGCAAGCAGGCGACGCGCCGCCACCCCGCCCCTGCCCCTGCCAGCGCCCGCTGCCGCCCGCTGCCCGCGCGGCTGCGCCGGGCGCGGCCGCTGGCTGGCGCCTGGCTGAGCGCTGCGGAGCTCTCCAGACTGCTGCACACGGCCCTCGTGCCCCGCGACCGCCGGCTGCGGCGGCGCCTCCTTGCGCTGCTCCCCTTCGTGTCGCAGCCCCCGCTCCCACTCCCGCTGCACAGCGGCCTCCACCGCCCGCCACGCCGCCAGCCGCTCCTGCCGCGCGCCCTGCGACGCGCCGGCGCCGCGCGCCGCGAGCACCCGCGCGATGTTGTCCAGCCCCCGGTTGGGCAGCGGCGGCGCGGCCACCGCGGCCCGGCAGTTGGGGCACTGCGCCTTGCGGGCGAGCCAGCTGTGCAGGCAGTCGCCGCAGAAGGTGTGGCTGCAGCCCAGGACGAAGGGCGAGACGAACAGGTCGCGGCAGATGGCGCAGGTGGCTTCCGCAGCGAGCTCGTCCTCTGGCGGCGGCGAGCCGGGGGCGGGGGCGTCAGCCGGGCCGGCCGGCCGGCCTGCACGCAGCGCGGGCTCCTCCGCAGCCGGAACCTCTGCTGAGGCGCAACGGGTGCCCATGGCGTCCGCGCCTCGGCTCAAGGCGCGCCGCTTGGAGCTGCGGCCGATGCGCCACTCCTCGGGCGCCGCCTCGCCGCCCGAGTCTGCTACCAAGGAGCCCCGTCGCCGCTGGCCCGGCGCAGCCGCACCGCCAATGTCCTGGGGCCCAGCCGTGGCCCTTTCTTCCACGACCAACACATCCCAGTCATCCTCCTCCTCAAGATTGCCCTGCCCGCCCTGACTGCTGGTCTTCCCGGGCCGCCTCTCTGGCTGCTGCTGCTGCCGCACTTGCACTGGCACCGCTGGCTGCGCCCCCGAAAGCAACTGCCCTCCCTCAGGGCGCCGCGCCCTCGCCCTCGGCCTGCTGCCAACAGACACACTCGCCGAGTCCTGGCTCTCGCGCGGCGGGCGCGGGGGCGCGTGCGGGTCGCGCTTGGCCGTTGGGGTTGACACCTCTGCACCGCGGCCTGGCCGCCGCCGCCACCGCTCCTGCTGCTCCTGGGGCTCCTGCTGCCGCGGCTGCCCCTGCTGCTCCTGCTGAGAAGCGCCCCTGGCCCCCACCTCCATTTGAAGGCCGCCCCCCTCGCTCCGCGAGCCGCCTGAGGCCTGCGGCTGTGACGAGGGCTGCGAACCGATGGACGGCTGCTGGATCTGCTGCAGCGCCGGGCGAGCGTGCTGCTGCTGCATGTCCTCCTGCTGCTGCTGCGGCTGCTGCGGCTGCTGCGGCTGCTGCTGCTGCTGCTGCGGCTGCTGCTGCTGCATGTCCTGCTGCTGCTGCTGCTGCCACTGCTGTTGCTGCTGCTGCTGCTGCTGCTGCTGCCGAGCCTGCAGGTTGCCCAATGTGGATGAAGTCGACACATGTGAAGGTTGCGTGTCGAGCACAGGGGGCACACTTTGCAGCCATCACGTGCATGGCATGGACAGCAGGGGCCACGGCTGCGATCACATGAGCGCCACACAGGGTTGGTGTTTGTTCCCTTGGGGTCAACTCACTGGTTGAGGTGCCAGCCGCCCGCTGCTTCCGGCTCTCTCGGGTCCACAGGCAGCAGCGCCGCCGCTGTCGCCACTGACGCCGCCGATGTCGCCACCGCTGCGGCCGAGCAGCGCGCGGACCGCGCTGCCCTCGGGCGCCATGTAGACATACGCCGCTGGGTTCGGGGCGGGCGCTTCGCCGCCCGCGCCGTCGCTGACGTTGATGACCATCCCTCCGCCAAAGTACACCGCCGTCCCAGGCGGCAGCCGCACCTCCTCGTGCGCGGGCGCGCGCTGCGCGTTCTCCTCGGCCTCCGGGTGGCAGTAGAAGGTGCCGTTTGTGGAGCCGTGGTCGGTAAGCAGCAGGTCGCGGCCATCAAGGCGCAGCGAGCAGTGAAGGCGCGAGAGCAGGCGGGGCGCCGCGCCGGTCTCGAGGCCGAGGTGCTCCTTGCGCCGGCCGAGCGTCAGGCGGCCGTCGGCGCTGCGGGCGATCCAAGCCGCGATGTCCACGTGGCCGGGCAGGTCGGCGCTCTCGGACATGCGCCGAAGGCTCATGCCGCCCTGCTATGGGGAGCAGGGGCACACGCCCCTGCTCAGCAGTACTACTGCTGCGCGCCTGTGCAGCGCGGCCGTGCAGCAGTGGCGACTGCAGGCGTATGTATGGGTCTAATAGCCCTCCAAATAGACTTATGCGTCTATGCCGGGCACACACCTTACCGGTATATGATGTGAATGAGGTGGCTGTTGAGAGCGTGTTGGGAGTGCGTACGGTGTACAGTAAGGCATGCTCGCAAGATCAGATTGCGAGTGCGTAACTGGAATAATTCATTCCTGACTTGCACGATTGAGGCTTTGCATGTACACGTGTGCTAGATCACACAGCGACAGCTGCTTCAAACCGTCTCGGGCCTTATTGTGTAGAAAGCAACCACCATAAATGACTCCAGGGCTCCAGTTCACGTGCGCCTCTTGATTGACTGTGCGGCCACCCTCCACATGCGCTCGCACACACGCACACACGCACGCACGCGCACACGCACGCGCACGCGCACGCGCACACGCACGCGCACGCACACGCGCGCACA